GAGGGCCATCCCGTGGTCACGTCCCATTTCCAGCATGTATAAGTAAAATTGGCATACACACCAGCTGGCAAAATCCCCACATGGGTGGGGTTCTGCACTGAAATCCAGGTCTATCTGCCTCCAGAGGCCCGTGTTCTCTCCACCATGCCAATGCCAATGAGAGCAAAAGATCAGATTACTAACAACAGGCTCCAGCAACCCTAGAATGTATTCCTAGCTTCTGCATAATGAAGTTATGGCTGGTGATCTGGTTTCTCAGCACAGAGCTGATTAGAAGCAGCAAATGTGAAGGGAATACAAATTAGAGACATTCTGATGCCAGCCATGAGGAATAAACACCGACAATCCTCGATGAGACAGAACCTACAAGAAGGAGGCAGATAATCCTCCTGCAGAGAGAGAAGCACCCCTTGGGGACGGCGTACAGATGCTGCCCACTGCCACAGCCCCCGGGGGGGGGTGTCCATGTCAGTCCCCAGTGGGTGTCACAGTCACCTGGAGGCCTTGATACAGCAGATTTGCTGGACTCCACTTCCACAGTTCCAGATTCGGTGGGTCTGGGGCGGGGCCTGAGAATGTGCATTTCTAACAAGTTCTGGGGGCTGCTGATGCTGCTGGTCCAGGGATACACTTTGAGAACCGCTGGCCTATAATTGAGCCCAGGGCACTACCACGTGTTCCCAATAATTGAATCTTTTTTCTAAAAAAAAGAAAGATTATTTTTAAGAAATTTGTTTTTACCTTCACTGTCTTTCTCCTCACAAAAAATAAGCTTCTTGGTGTCATTGTCTTTTGTTCACCATGAATGCCCAGAATCCGGAACAGGCCTGGCACTTACTAGGGTCTTAATAAATAATTATTGAATGAGCAAATGAAAAAAATATATTGTTTTGCTATAATGTTGGTTAAAAGGAAGGGTTGTGTATGCCTCTGTGTGTGTGTGTGTGTGTGTGTGTGTGTGTGTGTATTGTGTGTATAGGGCATGTGTGTATATATTGTGTGGGGGGCATGTGTGTATGTGTCGGTATGTATTATGTGTGTGTAGGGCACGTGTGTATGTGTATACATGAATTGTGGGGGGGGCGTGTGTGTATATAGGACATGTGTGTATGTGTATATACATATTGTGTATGTGTGTGCATATGGCATGTGTGGGTATGTATTGTGTGGGGGGCATGTGTGTATGTGTATGTATGTATTGTGTGTGTAGGGTGTGTGTGCATAGGGCATGTGTGTGTAAGGCATGTGTGCATGCATGTGTATGGCATGTGCATGGGTAGGGCATGTGTGTGGATGGGGTGTATGTTTGTGTGTAGTGTGTATGTAGTGTGTGGGGGGGCTGGGTAGAGAGGATCAGAGCACAGGAAAGCTAATTGTTGGGCAGGAAAGGAACCCTCCTGCCTTCACCTCCTTTAAGAAAACGGAACTTGAGGAGCACAGTGAGTGGGAGGAGTGACTGCTGTTTGTGAGAAGCTGATTTTCTTCTCAGTGCAGATGCTAAGAGCGCAGGTCCAGCCTCAGGACGGGTTAGAAGCCCACCATGAGCACACACTCGGGTTTGCCTCCTCCAGGGCCACAGGCTGGGCCCACACTGAACCGTGGACAGCGGGTGCCGGGATGGAAAGCAGGCTCAGTTTATCTCCTCTGAGTCCTGTGTGTGCTGGAAGCAGGAGCTCCCTGGTGAACTGCCTGCACGGTGACTACCGGGTGCTGCTGAGAAAAGATGGGCGTTTCTGGTGGTAAAAAAAAAAAATAAATATATATATATATATATATATATATATATATTTATACACACACACACACACAGTGTCTGAAAGTTCCCACCACACACCTTTCTGACACAGAAATGTTACACCAGAAAGCCAGGAGATCAGCTAGTCCAGCTTCTTGATTGCAGAGGAGGGTAATTACAGCCCAGGAAGCAGAGATCACTCATGCAAGTCAATAGCAGACCCAGAACTGGAATTCAACCCTGTCCATCAAGAGAGCTTTCCACTACACGCCCTGCCATCACCCTGCGAAGAGATGTTGCCGCATTCATCCCCTGGGCAGGGTCTGCTATAGAATAGGTCTCCAGAAATACCTCAGCAATGAATACGTGAATAACTCACTTCTTTCTGTGCCTACATGTGCTCTCAAGAGGTAGTATGATTATATATGACATATGAATATCTCTGTTGAAGTTAGAGAAAGAAAGGGATGTGACGGGGAAATGATAAAAGGAGATTTAGGCCTGGTGTGGCTATAGAGAATTAACTTTATGGGGTCAGCACTTTCCAAGGTCTAGTCATTAGTTGTTCGAGTCAGGAAACCCAACTTCACAGTGCACTCATGGTTGAGTGTTGAGGACTACTTCAAGCTAACCAAAATCTTGAGACCAGAATGCAATTAACTTTTATTGTGCCAAAGGGACTGGGTATTTGAATTAGCTAATCAATCAGTCTTGCCCTATGGAAAGATCTAATTGGGAAGCCATTTCTATTAACTGTGAGTCCCTAGAGGGCCAGTCTTAGCCTTTATCACCATCACTCCAACCCCTAGCAGAGTGAATAATCACTCAAGAAGTTATCTCTTCATAGATGATAAGCTCCAGGAGGGCAGGCAATTGCCTTTCTTGTTCATTACTGTATTCCAAGCACTCAATAAATATTTGTTGAATGATTGAAGAGTTTTTTCATCAACATAAAATTAGGACAAAAAATGTGTTTTATTGTCCTATTGGTGTTGATAAGCTTACATGGACTGACACAGCTGTCTATGCTAAGAAAATGCAGGTGCCAAGCAGCTGTAATGGGCCTGTGCCCACTGATATCTTCACTGGATGGTATTGAAAACACTGATAGCATTTTGCTCCCTGACCTCCCTTTTACTTTGAAGATCTGCCCTTGGGTTGGCACACTCCTTCTTCAGACAAGGTACATTCCAGTTGCAACTTTCTTGGTTACACTCACCTTCTAATCACTCCTCCTGATAACTATACCTTGGCACCCTGGTCACCTTATTTGAAGTGGGTGAGCTGAAGTCTCCCTGGATGCTTGTATTTCTTGGGAGGAGTCCTATTCAGCACATGTTGATTCAACTCTGTTTCCTCCACAAAGGGCAACTGAGTTTCCAAGCCTCCTAGGAGTCTAACCATAGTCTGTAGCAAACATTCAGAAGGAGTCATAAAATGGGCAGGCAGCTGGGAACTAAAAAACCCTGTGTTCTGCCTTCAAATATGAGATCCTCCTGAGCAACTAGCTGTCGATACCATTCACTGTCAATTCTAATTAACATGTTTGTGGGGCTCCTGGGTGGCTCAGTTGGTTAAGCATCCGTCTTTGGCTCAGGTCATGATCTCACGGTTTGTGAGTTCAAGCCCTGAATCAGGCTCTGTGCTGACAGCTCAGAGCCTGGAGCCTGCTTTGGATTCCTTGTCTCCCTCTCTCTCTCTGCCCTCTCTCACTCCTTCTCTGCCTCTCAAAAAAAATAATAATAAATGTTAAAATTTTTTTTAAAGAAAAAGAAAGGGGATGTAATTGTTGGCTCAGCAGTGGACATTTCCGCAGTGCTGTAATGAACAGTTTAAATATAGATTGAATAAAAAATATGATATAAGTTTATTGGTAGCTGTGGGTGAGAGGAGAAATAAGGTTGGGGATATACAGCAGCTAATCTTCATCTATCAGAACAGGACAACAATAGCTACTATCTGAAACTGATGAGTCAGGAAACAGTGTTGTGTTTATATTCCTTAAAAATATGGAGTTAAATACCAGAAAAATGAAAGGGGTTTAGAAGGGTTGAAGGTGATTGCCATCAAGGAGCAGGAACAAGGAGGTGGAAAGACAGAAATGTGAAACAAGTCACCCTTGGTATTTATCTTTTAATCTTTTAGCACTATTAGGCTGTGTGTGTGTGTCTGTGTCTATGTATGTCTATGTGTGTCTGTGTGTCTATGCATATACATTCCACTGACAAAAGTTAAAAATGCTAAGAGGGGCGTCTGGGTGGCTCAGTTGGTTAAGTGTCTGACTTTGGCTCAGATCATGATCCCCTGGTTCCTGGGTTTAAGCCCCTGCATCGGGCTCTCTGCTGTCTTCCCAGAGCCCACTTCGGATCTCCTGTCCTCCTCTCCCTCTGCTCTTCCCCCACTTGTGCTCGCTCTCTCTCTCTCAAAAATAAACAAACATTATAAAAAAATGTTTAAGACTGTGGAATGTGGTGCATTATAGAGAGATTTCCTTTAAAAATCCTGCTGTCAATAAGCCCCTACATAGGATCTAAGATGCAAGCTTTAGCTATTTGAAAAGTGCCCTCATGTGGCCCCCTTCGCCCCAAACACTCAGTTCAGCGTAGTTCATGATACCCTCAGGCCTCCCTTCAGACTCCTACCTCGTAAGTCACCTGGGCAAACAGAGGCTGTTTACTCTGCTTATCCAGGCACTGAAAGTTTTCTCCAGAAAAAAGGTGCCTGTGCTTTTCTGTAGCTGATAAAGCGTGTCTCTTAACTCCCCACAGACAAGGGATTTTGGTGGTTCAGCCCTTCTGGCCTTTGCCAAAAGGCAGCTTAGGCTTTTAACTCACTCTCAGAAGTGAGTTCCAAAACTTCTGTTTGCATCATGACTTTTCAGGCTCAAGGCTCTTTTGCCCTCCAAGTCCCTTCCTCCATAAAAAAAAAAAAAAAAGTATCAAACGTTTTATCTGACGACTGGACCAGTAAAAACATTACTGCAATGCAGGCTAGACTCACTGTTATGTATTCATTAATACGTGTTTTTTCCTTCTAATTTTAAGAGAAATTACAATATTATCGTGAGTCCCTAGAAGTCTCATGGACCTTTTGCACCGTGTCTGTTGTGACTAACGGGGAGATGGGCCCTTGAGAACCTGAGGCAGCAAGAAGGGAGAGCCTACCGAAGCGCTCTGCCGCCCTCTGCAGGTTCTGAGAGCAAAGTGTCAAAAGCAAAGAAGTGCTAGAACCCGGATGGGACGAAGTAATGGCCACATACTAGGCGGTCTTTGTCAGGCAGTTATTATATGTGGACTGTGCTGAGGAAGTTGCAGACACATCCTGGGAGCCTCAGGTCGCTAACATCCGGTGACCCCAGAGGTTAGGTTTCGTGCCCAAGTTCGCCCAGCCGGCGGTGGCAGAGCCACGTGACCACCAAGCTTGGCTTTTCCGCCTGTCCATCAACCGCTTCAGGAGCAGGCAGTCTGCATCTCCTGTCAAGCTCTGACTCTTCCCTCCCCATCTCACTCGGCGTTGCCTGGAGAATAAGCATCGTGACCAGTGAGAGTGAAGTCAGAGTCCGATATACTGTAGAACTCCGTAAGTACGTGCTCCTGTGTATCTACACAGATCAGAATGTTGGTAACACTTTTGTCTTGTTGGGGCCCCGTGTTCCTATTTCATTAGTATTGTGAGGCGGCCTGAGTGGTGAAGGCTGAGCCTGCACCTCGGATGGTTACCCTCTGAGAGACGAGATTCAGATGAAGTCACCGCCAGCCAGTAATTCCAACGCACCTCATTTTCCTCATTTCTGGGCCTAAGGGGGACTCAGCAGGTGGGGGACGTGACGATCTGCATTTATACAGAATCCTGGCTTTAAGGTAACTAGCCAAAATATTAAGCTACCCCAACAAATCCTTCAGTGAAAGCCAGAAAGCTAATCCCTGGTGCACCTTGTTTGAAATAAATTCTTTGGGCTGGGGCAAAATCTTGCAACAGGCCTCCTAAACCTCACGACCTCTCACCTGGGGTAATTATTCTCTGTAGGAAGACCCACTCATTTATTCCAGCAAGGCGATTTTCCTTTCCACTTTCCCTCCCTCCTATCTACTGCTACACCCACACCCTCCCTCAGCCCAAATGCAACCTGATTAAAGAAGAAAAAAAAAAGAGATTCTTTTGCTGAAGTAAATGAGAACCCATGCAAGGATGGGTCGAATATCCAAGCTGGCGAGACCCCAGCGCCCACACCCTTTGGGCTTCTGTGACCCACTGGAAAGCTGTAAATCACCCAGTGAAAGAAAGGCAGGCCTATGGCAGAAATTGAATCAATAGCCACAAAAAATACTGGGATTGGGCCCCCAGCTGTTCATAAGTAGTCACCTCAGGGAAATAGTTACCTTGGGGAAATAGAGAGGAGTCAGTCACACATGCAGACATCTCCGCTTTGTATTCTTCTGAAGGTGCTTAATGTTTGTTAAACAAAGAGCATGTATTTGTTTTACCACACACACAGACACACAAGATTATAGAAAATACATTATTGTTTTCAGCTGCTGCATAAAGGAAATTAAATGATAGCCAGGGGAAAACTCCAGGAGGAAAAAAAAAAAAAAATGAGAGCAGAGAAGCCAGAATCAAAAGATTTTTATTCCCGACTCAGCTTTCTTTGCCTGACATTCTTCATGTGAAAAATGGAGGAAATTATAATATTCATCTGCCGTGGTCACCCCAGGAGGATTAAATGAGATGATTACTAAAAAAAAAAAAAAAAACAAAACACATGCAGGGGGGTTTTTTTTCCCCCCGCTTAGTCCCTCATCCCTAAACCCCCTAACTTTGCCCAATGATGGAAGTTTAAATGCTCTGTCTCCAAACACAATTTGCCAAGAGGCTTGCCTTCAGGTGGTGTCCTAGGCAGCTGTGAGGCCACCAGCCTGGAGGAGCTGCCCAGCACAGGTGAGAAGGGGAGAACATTCGGAAGAAGCGTCTGGTGGTGATAGTTAATGTAGAAGCATCTAAAGCTGAGTGGTGAAGACGTGGGTTGTTGCTGATTCTTAAACCACCCCGGAGATTACCACGCTAGTTTAAAACCAGAAACTAAAAAAAGGAAAAGAAAGTGTCTTTTCCAAATGTTGAAACTAAACCGTGAGGGTCATCTTTACTTCATACAAGTGCCACTTAGCAACAGAAAGGGTAATATGTACAGGGTGGCCGTTCTATTACTGGGTTCAGAACTCAGGGGCCTAGGTAAACCATATAGCTAGAGGATCTGAGAACTGCTATCTTTCACATTCCAGGGTTGAAATAAAGGATTTTTCCTTTTTTTATTTAAGAAGGTAAGACAAGCGGTGCTAGAGATGCAAAAAAAGAGGTAAAGCCTGAAAAGAAATAATTATTGTATCAGAAAAGAGAATAGTCAAACCTCAGGACACTCGTTAATGAAAAGTGTGTTATTCATAACCTTTCTCAGGGGGAAGAGTGCATGTTCTTTTTTTTTTTTTCCTTTTTTAAATTTATTTTTATTTTAGTTTTTTAATTTACATCCAAATTAGTTAGCATATAGTGCAACAATGATTTCAGGAGTAGACTCCTTAGTGCCCCTTACCCATTTAGCTCATCCCCCCTCCCACAGCCCCTCCAGTAACCCTCTGTTTGTTCTCCATATCTATGAGTCTCTTATGTTTTGTCCCCCTCCCTGTTTCTATATTATTTTTGCTTCCCTTCCCTTATGGAGAGTGCATGTTCTTTTTAGGTAACTAAAATAGTTCCAGGTTGTGCAGCATTATTTCCTCCTATGAGGGATAAACGGCAGAAACAATGGATGTAAAAATTAGGACGTTTGAATCCCTGTATAAAGTTGCCAACAAGATATCCCATTATATTCAATCTCAGATAGGTAAAGAATAATTTTTAGTGTAAGTATGTCCCATGTGTTGTACAGTCAAAAATTCTTTGCTTTTTATCTGAACTTCAAATTTAACCGGATGTCCTATATCTTTTTTTGCTAAATCTGACATCCCTACTATTGCAGAAAGAATAAAAACTCTCACCATGCTTGGCATGAGAAAGGCAGTTAGAACATAAGAGAAAGGTTCGTGAGAGGTCAGCCAACAAACACCACAAAGGGTTTTTATAGAGGATGTTGGAAAAACATGTGGTAAAGCACCAGCTTCTCGCTCCTATGAAAGGCTGGCTTTGTTTCTTAGCAGGATGGAGGCTGCCCTCACTAACCCCAATTTACAGACAGACTGAAAAACTCTCCCGGAGTAGAACTGGTCTCCATGGGAACACCCTGCCTGCCAAATACTCAGGTGCCAGGCGTACAGAGCTTGTAGTAGGTGCTCAGTGAAGATGGGCAGGTTGGGTAAGAGACTCAGCAGGTAAAGTCTCTAAACTTTAGCATCTAAAGATTGGATGACTCTTCAATAAGACTAATTGGCAATCCAAAGGGTCCCTATCTAGATGCACTTGTTGGCCAATGTTCAAGTTTTTAAGTATAAAAATGGACAGATCTTTGGGCGAAGTCACTCAGCTGGTTAACAGCAGAGCTAACAAGAAGCTTCCGGGCAAGAAACTGTTGTTATGTACCATAAGGCTTGGCACACATATCCATTCCAGAATTTGCTCTCCCACTCAATAGCTAAGATCATTCTTATAATGTAAAATAAAACCACATAGGCATAATTCTTTATGCATTGTATGTAAGACAATTTACATGGCTCCCATTTTCTGAATTCTTTGATTTGTCTGAGTTGATTTGCATTTGGATAACCACTGTCTTGCAGAACCATTCCAGCTACTCTATTTATTTGCAGATTTATGAATATCTAAATGAGCTCAGTCCCTGCCAGTTTAGATATGACTTGGGTGGAAATTTTTCATCCCTCATTCTATTCTTCATTTATCCTGTCTCCATGAAGTGATGGTACATGACCATCATTTAAATCTAAGCCACACATTTAATTGGGGGTTTGAATATGCTGAGTGAGTTACCATGAAGTTTGATGTTTATCTCATGATATGTGTATATCTTTGATAAAATTTGGAAACATTCCCAAAGATCTTTGATACTTGGCATGTTTTAAAACTATCTCAATTAAGAAATGAATGTGGGTCATGAGCAGAATAACTCCTACAAGAGGCAGGGTGGCGGGGGGAGATGAATGAGCCCAGACTGAGCTCCTGTATGCACCGTTAGTCATCACCGGACGCAGTCTATTGACCTCGAAGCACCATGTGGTGCTTTAGAAATGCCACCCAAAGTGTGTCATCATCCATGACAAAATCCCCGATCACATTAATAATTTCCTTACCCTCACAGATGTTTTGTGCTGGAACTCCAGAAGTTACTAAGTTTTAGAACTCATCCCATCATTCTTCAGGTGTGTGGTGAGAAAAAGTGCATTCTTTGATTGGAGAACATAGAATCTGTATTTACTTGGAAAGTATATTTTATAAACTCACACAACAGCATCGTGGGATGGACCTGGGGCCTGAAATGCTTTCTGATTACCTGCTCTATACCAGATCTTGAACTAGGCAACTGGGAAATAGAAGGATTAATTTGCCTCTCACCTCAAAGGACCATGAGATGTGAAGTTAAATAATTATAGCATAAAGAAGAATACAATACATGCCCTAAAAATAGTATAGAATGTTACAGAATTCAGAGAAAGGAGAGAGGCTTATACCAGGGAATAATCAGGAAAGAGTACTTTATTTTTTTTTAATATATGAAATTTATTGTCAAATTGGTTTCCATACAACACCCAGTGCTCATCCCAAAAGGTGCCCTCCTCAATACCCATCACCCACCCTCCCCTCCCTCCCACCCCCCATCAACCCTCAGTTTGTTCTCAGTTTTTAACAGTCTCCTATGCTTTGGCTCTCTCCCACTCTAACCTCTTTTTTTTTTTTTTCTTCCCCTCCCCCATGGGTTTCTGTTAAGTTTCTCAGGATCCACATAAGAGTGAAACCATATGGTATCTGTCTTTCTCTGTATGGCTTATTTCACTTAGCATCACACTCTCCAGTTCCATCCACATTGCTACAAAAGGCCATATTTCATTCTTTCTCATTGCCACGTAGTATTCCATTGTGTATATAAACCACAATTTCTTTATCCATTCATCCGTTGATGGACATTTAGGCTCTTTCCATAATTTGGCTATTGTTGAGAGTGCTGCTATAAACATTGGGGTACAAGTGCCCCTAGGAAAGAGTACTTTAGCCTTTAAAGACACTTTGACAGAGCAAGATGATGGTCAAAGCAAGTCAGACAGAGGGAAGGGCACAGGGTGTGTGGGGAAGCCCTTTGTATTCCCATCAGTGGGATGCAGGGTGCAGCAGGAGCAGAGCCTGAAAAGGCGGTGCAAGACCTACTAGAGTGTCTTAGTGTGGCATTCAAGGGGCTCCAAGGCAGACCGGAGATCATCTTCACATCCTCCATCCCAATCCCATTAGGCTTTCCTGCAAGGAGGAAAGAAGACAGCTCCCTTTGCTTCGCTCTCCTGTGACTCTTGCTCTTAGATCTGAATTTTCTTATGGCGCTGTTGTCTGGTGCATGTTCTCACACCAGGACGGCGTACTTAGTCAAA